AATAAACTCAAAGTGACGCCAAAATTGGAAAAGCATGAGGGTGTCGGCTGATGGTGAATTGGTGATGATGGCTAGGTTTTCTCCCTCTTTCTTATGAATATTACGCTCCAAGGAAACTTATGTATACGTATTAAATATGTGATTGCAGTGTGCGTGAGTTTAAACATAGATATACATACATATATTACAGTTGTGGCGTGAGTAGTATTCTATACATTAGCAGTGGTTTATATAATATAAAAACCTTAATTTTAGTCGTGTACTGAAGTAAAACTTTAGGTTTATTTAATATATATAATAAAAACATATTAGTTTTAGAATTTCAAGATTAGTTATTATATTATATTAGTAATTAGTAATATGAGTTTAGGAAATTATTTAAACTATCTTCATTATTAGGAAAAGTATATGTCTTTACATATTATATCAGGATTAGGAAGCTATTAGGCTCAAAGAGTAATATTTCTACAATAATATGGATTAGGAGACTCTAAATAATTTAGTCATGTACGCACGTACGATCTTCGTACAGTGCCCAGAAAATATGGGGTATCACACTACCTCTTTATTATCGGTTCAAAAATTTGCAGCTGATAATAAAGTATTCTTTGAGTTTCACCCATCCTTTTTTTTTGTCGTGAAGGACATCAACACCGAGGAGATTTTTCTTCGAGGCAATAGTTCTGGTGGGTTATACACACTACCAGTTCCTAGTTCATCACCTTCCGCGTTTCTTTCAGCTCGTGCGTCTCCTTCTGTCTGGCATGATCATTTGGACCATCCACACCATCGTGTCCTTAGTCGTGTTCTTCCCTTTTGTTCGGTTAGTAGGTCTAATAGTGCTATTCGTTGTAGTTCTAGTTTATGTAATGCGTGTCAAATGGGTAAATCTGCTCATTTTCCATTACCACGTATTGATACTTCTAGTTCCAACATTCTTTATTTAGTCTATACTGATATTTGTTGTCCAGCTCCTCTCTTATCTTCTGATGGTTATAGATACTGTGTTCTCTTTGTTGATGATTTCTCTCGGTTTACTTGGTATTTTCCCATGAAACAGAAATCTGATCTCTATGATATCTTTGAGAAGTTTCGTGTTCTTGTTGAAAGACTTTTTAATCGTAAAATCAAATCTATCCAATCTAATTTAGGTTTCGAGTACAAAAAGTTGCATTCATCTCTCACAAAATTAGGGATCTATCATAGACAGTCTTGTGCCTATAATCACGAACAAAATGGCCGTGTAGAGCGAAAACATAGACATATTGTCGAAACCAGTCTCACTCTCATGGCTCGTGCGTCTGTTCCATCTAGTTTATGGGATTTTGCATTTGAAACTGCGGTTTATTTAATTAACAGAATGACATCTACTATTTTAAATAACTCAGTCCTCATTTTCTATTGCATAAATCTCCTCCCTTCATATTCTTTTCTTCATGTTTTTGGTTGTTTGTGTTATCCTCATCTTCGTCCCTATAATCGTCACAAAATGTCCTATAGGTCCTCTCCATGTGTCTTTCTTGGTTATCCTGAGTCTTTTAGGGGGTATATATGTATGCACTTACAGACTAATAAGGTGTTCGTGTGCAGGCATGTCAGATTTGATGAAGCTGTTTTTCCCGTTGCTACAAAAATTTCTATGTAGAAAATTTCAGATTCCCATGATAAACCGTGAGTTGCATCTATTCTTCATCCCATGGTGACCACTCACGCTACTCATACTCAGTCCGAACCAGCACAGCCAACTGCACCGGTTCTGACCGAACAAGCGCTACTGGCAGCCCCTGAACAGACCAGCACTGCACTGCCAGCAGCGCCTATTGAAGCCGAGACAACGCATCAAGCTGTCTCGGTGGCTGCTTGTCCACGCGAACGCCCACGGGGCTGGTCGACTCGGCCGAATGTCTGCACCCATGACATGGAAACACGAAGCCAGTCTCGCGCACCTCCTACGGTTTTGACAGCTCAGGTTTGCACCACTGATCCCACTTGTTACACACAGGCTGTCAAACACTTGGAATGGCGCCAGGCCATAGCTAAGGAATTTAATGCTTTATTGCAGAATCAGACATGGTGTCTGGTTCCGTCTAAACCTGATCAAAATGTGATTGGATGTAAATAGGTTTTTCGAACCAAGAGAAAAGTGGATGGTTCAATTGAGAGATACAAAGCCAGGTTGGTAGCAAACGGGTTTAATCAGGTTCCTGGTCAAGACTTTTTTGACACGTTCAGTCCAGTTGTAAAACCAACCACAGTCAGGTTGCTTCTTCTTTAGCTATATCTTCTGGTTGGACTGTGAGACAACTAGATGTTCATAATGCTTTTCTTAATGGTAATTTGACTGAAACTGTTTACATGCGGCAACCACCTAGATATATTGATGTTCAATTTCCTAATCATGTCTGCTTGTTGAAGAGATCATTGTATGGGTTGAAACAGGCCCCAAGAGCTTGGTTTAACCGTCTTCATGCATTTTTATTATCTGTTGGATTCCAGGCATCGAAAACAGATGTGTCACTATTTTATTACTCCCAGAATTCTACTTATGTTTATCTTCTTGTCTATGTTGATGACATTCTGGTGATGGGTAGTGATCCGAATCTTGTGAGTTATTTATTGTCAAAATTATCAAGATTAGGGATCTTGGTGATCCAGGTTTCTTTCTTGGCATTGAAACCATTAATGGCATGTTTGGTTCATGGAATAGGTCAGGAATGGAATAACATTCCTTAGAATAGACCTATTACATCGTTTGGTTGGATAATTTTGTCATGGGAATAACATGCCTAGGAATGAGCTATTACCTTCGCAAGGGGAATAGCCATTCCTAGGGGGAGGGGAGGGGAGGGGGGGGGGGGGAGCTTGCTATTCCCATGCCCTTGGGAATAGCTTTTATATCACAAATACCAAAAATACCCTTTACACATTATATAATATTTATATTTATTTAATAAATATAATGTATTATATAAATGTATATATTTAATTAATTATAATTTTTATCCATCAATCTATCAATATATATATATATATATATATATATATATATATATATATATGTAAATAAAAAATTTAACTATATAAGACTCCTTAATTATAGAACCTTGGCTCCTAAATTAAGTAGCATGCCCATCTGCATGCCTAGTGGATGGGCATTGCAAGCTTGCCTAGCGGATGAGCATTGCAATTGAAATTATGGAGTCTTGAGACTCCTTTTATAGGAGCCTCAAGGCTCCATTCCTTACTTCTCCAACCGATGTGGTATAAGTGAGAAAATAAATATAAATATAAATATGTATTTGTATAATAATAATAAGAAGAATAAGAATTATAATAATAGTAATAATAATAATAATAATAATAATAATAATAATAATAATAATAATAATAATAATAATAATAATAATAATAATAATAATAATAATAATAATAATAATTATTATTATTATTATTATTATTATTATTATTATTATTATTATTATTATTATTATTATTATTGTTGTTGTTGTTGTTGTTATTCTCTCTCTCACACACACATAGATATACATGTATATAAATATAAATATATACAAATATATATAAATAAATAAATAAATAAATAAATAAATAAATATATATATATATATATATATATATATATATATATATGTATATATATAACATTCAGTATATCATAATCATGATCATTATTATTATTATTATTATTATTATTATTATTATTATTATTATTATTATTATTATTATTATTATTATTATTATTATTATTTTGTATAAGGGTATTTATGTCTTTAAAACCTATTGCATTTCTATTCCTTTAACCAACCAAACACTGGAATACAATTACTAAAGTCTATTCGTTCAGCCAACCAAACAACAAAATACAATTCATATTCTATTCCTTACCTATTCCATTCCCTGTGGAATAGCATTCCTATTCCCTCCAAATTCATTCCGTGAACCAAACATGCTGTAAATGTAGTGATGGAATTCTTTTATCTCACCCAATGTTGCAAAAATCGCGCCTAGAGCCGATTAATCTAGGCGCCGCCCGGCCGCCGCGAGGAAGGCCGGAATCGGCGTCCTTCGCGGCTGGCCGGTTAGGTGGTCTAGGCGCCGCCTAGACCGCCTAGCCGGCCGAACCGTCCAAACCCCTTTTTTTTGGGTTATTCGCCAAAACGACGTCGTTTTGGCTAATAAACCAAAAAAAACCACGATTAAAATCACGATTTCGGCCTTGCTCATTTGTCGACCTCGAAACCCTTCCCTCTGCCGCTCTGCGTCTCTGCGTCGACGAAGCCGCACCCTCCGCCTCCGGCCATGGCCGCCCGGTACCTCCGCCGCTACGCCGCCCTCCGCCATTCACCGTACACAGGTACGTAGTCTCACACTCTCACTTAATGACTTAATAACTTTTCGTTTTCTGTTTTCATTTTTCAATTTGTCACTGTTTTCATTTTTCAATTTTGAATTTGCACTTAAATACTTAATTAGTTAATCACTTAATCACTTTGTATTTCACTATTTCTATTTACTTATTTAGGGTTTTGTGATTTTATGTTTTTGAATTTTGATATATGTGAATTTGTATACTGTATTAGGCATTTAGGCAGTGATAATATATGTGATTCATGTGAATTTGTATTATTGTTGCAATGTGAATTTGTATTACTGTATTAGGCAGTGATAATATATTAATATGTGAATATGTGAATTGTGATAATATGTCTAATTGTCTTATTGTCTAATGCATTAGCGGTTAGCCATTAATAATATAATAATATTTAATAATTATGTATGGCAAGTGATGATAATAATATTTCTCAACCACCATTTAATAATTAGGTATGGCAAGTGATGATAATAATATTTCTCAACCACCAATTCAAACTCAAAGTCAGAGTGTTGGATCTTCTCAACTATCTACAACGTCAACTACAATAAAAAGAAAGTCCAATGATATAGGCTGGGAGTATGGGGTAATTAATGATCCTACTAAGTCAATGGACAAGATTAAATGTTTATTGTGCAAGAAAGTAATGTCTGGTGGAGTTTATCGGATCAAAGAGCATATTGCTGGCATAACAGGGAATGTTAGCAAATGTCCCATAGTTTCAAAGGAAGATCAATTAAAATGTAGAGATACTCTCATGATGGCAAAGAACAATAAGAAGAACAAGAGAGCTGAAGAAGTTAATATGAGAGCGGAGGTAAACATTGGTTCGCATGAGAGTTTGAGTAATACACCTACAAATACTATTGATGTTGATGAGTTGCAAGACATGCAACAGTTTGGACATTTGAAGCCACCTCGTCCAATTGGCCCTATGGATAAGTTTGCAAACCAAATCAATCCTGAAAGTTCTTTGAGTTCAGGAAAGGGCACGGCGCAACAGCGGATAATTGAGGCATTTGACAAGGAGAGGGTTAACCGAGTGAAATAGTACATACACCAAATAGATATGAATTGAGTGAAACAATTTGAAAAAAGAGGTTGATCGAGTCCGAGACAGTTTGCAGGTGCATAAAGCAGAGTGGAAACTAAATGGATGCTCAATTATGACCGATGCATGGACAGATAGGAAGAGAAGAAGCGTCATGAACTTGTGTGTCAATTCAAGTTTAGGCACTGTTTTTTTATCTTCTAAAGAATGTTCAAGTGAGGCACACACAAGTCAGTTTATATTTGAATATGTGGAGTAGGGCATTGAACAAGTTGGAGAGGAGAATGTTGTTCAAATTGTCACAGATAATGCCGTGAACAACATGGGAGCTGCTAAATTGTTGAAAGAGAAGAGACCACGGCTATTTTGGACTTGTTGTGCAACTCATTCCATTAATTTAATGCTTGAAAGCATTCCATGTATCTTTCAATCTTTAAATCTTTATTCTTTAATCTTTATTCTTAAACTTTAAATCTTTATATTGTTCATACTTGAATCCCTTGCAGGTTTACCACGGTTTAAAAAAGTTCTTGATCAAGCAAAGAGTTTGACTATCTTTATCTATGCACACCATAAAACCTTGGCAATGATGAGATCCCTATACAAAGAAGCGTGACATAATTAGTCCAGGTGTGACTAGGTTTGCTTATGCATTTCTTACTTTGCAGAGTATAAGTAGTAAGAAAATTGAATTAAAGGCTATGTTTTCAAGCAATGAATGGGATGAATGTAAGTTCTGTTGGAAAATTGGTCAGAATATGTCATAGATCTAGGCTACTGTTTATATAGGCTGAGTATAGAAGAAATCCTGAATCAATCGGTGACGTGCGCAAGACACTACCTTAAAAGCAAATATTGCCCGGAGACGATAACAGTCTTACCGGTTGCTTTCAACCAGTTAACACCGAAGCTCAGGGTTGCAGAAGAGAAGAAGAGAAGAATGTATTGAGCGTTTAGAGCTCAGGAGGAGCAGGGTATTTATAGCTATAGAATTACCTGCTCCTCCTCTCTTAGCCATTCAATTTCCACTAAAATAGGGGAGTGGTGGAGAGGACCACATTTGTAGGAGTTAAACCTCACTCCACAATTTATTGTGGATGGAAATAATTCACACTTATTTGGGTGTTATTCCCAACATCCCCCACACACTCAACAAGTGTGAATGCAGTCGATGTCTGAGCGGAAGTGAGCAATGACCTTAATGCCAATGGTTTAAACCTTGAACTGACACGTAGTGACTTGAGTAACTTTCTCCTTAGTACTGAATTGAATCTTGAACTAGCAAAGGAGAGGTAGTTTTGAACTCATGTGCACACATCAGCACCCATTATGCAGGTTCTTCGGAAGTCAAACTCTTTGACTTGTGATCTACCTCTGTGTAGACCCTAGCTTAGAACATCTCATGTTCAGTTGTTTTATGAGTACGTAAGCTTGGCTTACTTTGTTGATTTTAAGCTCATTTCCTTCGATGTATCGAGGACGGCCTTTCTATTTAGTCCTTTAGCGAGAGGATCTACTATTCTTCTCGGGCTCCATATACTCTAATGTGAGTGCTCCAGTCGTAATCAACTGTCTTACAGACGCATGTATGACCGTTATGTGCCTTCTTTGTGAGTTACAGTGTATGGGCATAGCCGGTGTAGCACACCCCCACCATGGCACGTCCACCAGTAGGTCTCTCAGCCACTCGGCTTTTTGTCCAACTAGATCAAGAGGTATAAATTCATTCTCCATTGTTGATCTAGCTTATACAAGTCTGTTATGTCTATCTTAATCACTACAAAAAAACGCGAAAATAGCGACGGAATTAAGGGAAAAATCCGTCGCTAATGGCTTTAGTGACGGAATCGTTCCGTCACTAAAAGTGGCGTCGCTAGATTTTGCGACGCACTTTTTTTTCCGTCGCTAATTTTAGCGACGAATTTTCCGTAGCTAAACTTACAAATATCCGTCGCTAATTTCCTTTCCGCGACAATTTAAATGACGAAATTTGTAAAAGAATAGTGATGGAAAATTCCGTCGCTATTTAACGTATTTAGCTACAAATTTAATGCAATTTACATCCGTCGCTAAGTTTTTTAAATATTTTTTTAAAAAAAAATTACAAATTAATTCATATCACATACCTATATTAAACCATAATATAATACTTCAATAATATAATTAAAAACTATATTATATTTATAATACTTAAATAATATAATTGAAAAATATATTATATTAAAAAATTCAATGTCAATAACAATATAAAACAATAAAAATAAAAAATAAAAAAGTATTCATTGAATGAAGTACATATAGAGTTGATATTTATAAACAAAGCACCTCGTTTGCCATGTCCAGGGAATGGACTCTAATGAAAAAAAGAGAATGTATATCTATATTTGTCTCTCCTTAAATCTACCAAAGTTTTTCATATCAATTAAGGCCCAAAGTGAGCTTGGAGCATCAGTAGGATCTTGGGAACTTGAATCACCATTGTAGTTGAAGTGACGTGAATGTGACATCTGAGAACCTGGATTCAGGTGGGAAAATAAAATTATTTCAACAATCTACCCAACCATATAATTTTTGTATTCAAAAAAAAAAAAAATCAAACGCTAAGTTTACTAAGCACCCTGAACAACAATGACACAGACAATGATAATCACATAATAATAATAATAATAATAATAATAATAATAATAATAATAATAATAATAATAATAATAATAAAAATAATAATAATAATAATAATAATAATAATAATAATATTATTATTATTATTATTATTATTATTATTGCATTGAAAAGACAGAAGCCATATTCATAACACTGATTTTGTGTTCAAGGGAATACTCAGACTCAGTTGTATATTTGGATATCTAAAAGAACACCCAAAAGAAATAAAAACAAAGCCTAGATCTCCAATAACATTCTATATGTGGTGGGTTCACATGAATACTTAGTTATACATTTTCAGATATTTAAAAGAACAGCACAAACAAAATGCAGAATGTAGAGACAAACATATGAACGAAATTCCGCAAATTTACCTGGAATGCTAGCAAAGTCGGCGAATGGCGTGCCTGAATTTTGACTCGGAGGGAGGCTTTAGTGCTTGATGCAAACGTTTGGTTCCCGGTGACGACGACGTTGAGTTGACGGCAGAGAAATACTCGGTGCTGAGGGAAAAGTAGTCACTGCCTCCTGGAAATCTTGTAAATTAGATCTAGGGGTGTTAGCGAACAGAGCTTTCGGCAAACTACTCGTGTTCGTGTTCGGTAAGCGTTCGTTTATGTTCGCTTGTTAAGGTAAACGAACATTAACAAACAAAATTTAGAGCTCGGTTAATAAACGAACAAAGCTTGAACAGTTGTAAGCTCGTTTGCTAAGAGATCGTGAACAAGCTCGTTTATGTTCGTTTAATAATGTTCGTGAACAAGCTCGTTTGTGTTCATTTAATAATGTTCGCGAACATGTTCACAAACATATATATTATATTATATTATATTAGTTTGGTAGTTGTGTTGTTTGTTTGACTATTGTTCGTGAATGTAGATTATTTATTGTTCACGAACGAATTGTGATCATGAACATGTGCAGGTGTTTGTTTATTAAGTGTTCATGAACGTAAATGAATATGTTCGTGAACGTAGATTATTTATTGTTCACGAACGAATTGTGATCATGAACATGTGCAGGTGTTTGTTTATTAAGTGTTCATGAACGTAAATGAATATGTTTGTGAACGTGCTTGTTAATGAACACGTCTGTGAACGTGTTTGTTAACGTTAACGAACACGTTTGCGAACATGTTCACGAACGTTAACAAACACGTTCGTGAACATGTTCGTTAACGTTAACGAACACGTTCGTGAACGTGTTCGTGAACGTTAACGAACACTAACGAACACTTAACAAACGAACACGAACATGATTTTCAAAAACCTTAACAAACGAACACGAACACGAACACTCCAAATTCCTTAACAAACGAACACGAACAACCTCCGTTCGTTTATGTTCGGTTCGTTAACAGTCCTAATTAGATCTAACCTGGTTATCAATTCTTCTGGATTCATCTAAAGATGTCCCAATCACATGCAGGCCCCCAAGCCTTTTCACTTCTAATCCCTCATTTAAACAGTGTGACTCACAATCTTTCAAAACTGATAAGAATGTAAGTGCCACAGATGGGCCAAGAGGGTACATTTCAGATTGATCATCAGCAAGCTTCTGCAGCTCTTCCAATTCCATGGATTGGCTCATTTCTATAGATTCAAAAATTATAGATTTTGCCTTTTCACATGGTCATTTCTTACCCTCATTTTTGCATTCATACTTAGTTGTAAAGAAAATTAAATAACAAAACAGCACATGTCAATGCATTGAAATAATATAATTTTTATAAAAAATAAATAAAAAAATCTATTGTCAGTTTGAGGAGCATCTTGTGTCAGAGATGAAACCACAAAGAGATACAAATAAACAATCATGCATATTTTCATAAACCTCCTGTACCCACAGGCGGTTTAGCCAGTAAATGAAGAACAAATGAAAAATTTGTAATTGTTCAAACCTTATCAATCGCAGAAGAAATTGAAGAATCTTGAGTGTAATAATGTGATTCCCAGCCAATAGTTTTGATTCTCGACTTGAAACTGCAGTTATACCACGATAGTATTGGCCGCTTAGACATTTTGAGCTCACAAAGACAGCAAATAAAACACAATAGCTAACCATAATATAGACAAATAGAGGTATAATAACCGTAGAAAGAAACCTTATTTCAAACTCGAGTAGTAAAAAACTAAAATCTCATATTATGATTTTGGTTACTAAATACAAAAGTTTTAAGAATTAATTAAGTTTCCCTTTTTCTCTAGCTAGGAAAATTTTAAATAGTAAAAAACAGAGTATTGTAATTGACTCAAATATTCGACAGAGTTTGAGCAGCAAAGAAATTCAACAACATTCATTTAACAGTGAATGAGGAAAGATTCACAATTTGTTATTTGAAGAAGCGACCATGCATAGACTTGAAATTCCTTAACTGAAGTATTGAACAGCCAGCAGATCATATTTGGAATTAAGCATGAATTGTAATATACTAATATACATAAGATTTGAAGAGAGCTTGGATAAAGTCACAAATCCCACACTGGTGCAAGATGCATATTAAACTTGGCAACTTCTCTTTTAGCCACCAAAGTGTTGAATTTTGATTGTTGTTTAGGTGAATAATCTCAAGGTATCAACTTATTAGTCAAAAATTAAGGCTATCCTTTCTATGCACTTTAATATGTTAATTTAAAGCAATATGGTAACTTGTTGCATCTTTGTCACCTTCTATTATAAGGTTTAAGTGACCATAATTGAAGTTTGTTGGCTACTATGATTAAACCCGCTATTATTAAGGTTTTAAAACAAAATTATTAGGCAAAATAGCTTGTCAGATAGAGTGACCTCTACTCCTTGTATCCAACAGAGAAGAATAGTCAAAAGAAAGGTCTTGTTTAAAAGAAGAGAAAGCTGCTGATAATGACGGAATTCTTAATATCTCCTTGCACTTAAAATTGAATATTTAGCCAAAAAACCACTGACAAGCAAGAGCTGTAACATTATCTTCACATGATTTTAACAAAAGCATAATTAGCATAGTAAGCCAACTCATTTTCCAAAATCAAAACTTCAATTCAACTGCAATGTGTAACCAAAACTGCAATGCATAGTAAGCCAACTCATTT